ACAAATAAATTTTAAAACCTATAATTGAACAATCAATCAAGACATGGCTGCTTATTTACTAGGCTTTCATTGTATTATAAACTGTTTTTGGTCACTCAGTAATTTTGCAGTTAACCAGCTAACATAGCTCCATTCACTGGTTGTGTACATTCATGATGTTCAAGAAAAGAGATTTACTTTGATCTATTTTACTAAAGTATTTTTGTTCAGATTAATCTTTAATGCTCCAATAAATGATTTTCTTTTTCTTTCTTCACATCCAAATATTGATTTTGTTCATTGCAGCCATTGGGTTTGGTGCCAAACGATCCCATCTTAGATGACAGTTCTTTCTGCTCTTAGAACTGTTCAATGTCATTAAACCTCCCACAAGTTCCTCAACATTCACTAAATCTGCTGACACTATGAAAGATATTAAAGAGTATCAACCTTATTGAATTTATCTGTAATATGTAATCATGTCTATAATTTCATAAGTTTAGATCTTGTTTCTCTACAAAGTTCCTGGCAAAGGCTACTTAGGATAATTTGTTACAGAAGGAATAATGTACATAGCTTACATGACATTTATTATGTAATGAGCCCTTATTAATATGTTAATATGTTAAAATATCTAGTGTTTTGTATATGGCAATAATAAAATCCTCTGCTGTTTGAGATATCTGATGTTGGAGAGACTTTTGGATTATAACAACAAAATCATTTAGATGTAAAGAGGATTGCTAAACTAAGCAAGAAAATAAGAAAAATTGGTTAACAGAAACTCAGTATATGTGTTTCCCTCTCTTTCTCTCTCTTTAATAAACCTGCTTTTTGATTGCTGTATAGATTGGCAAAAATACAGGTGTGTAGTGTTTTGTTTCAAAACAAGGTACTTAACACATCGGGAAGATATTTAATAAATCTTGTGACAGTGTTATTAAAATTTATAATAAAAACTGACATTATCATGGTATTTGTGAGATAATCTTTCTGTCTTGCATCAATTTTTAATAGAAAAATAGAGACATGTACATTCCCATTAATACTATGATTTTCTTTTGCTTCTCATGAAATATCTTTCTTGGTTGACAAGAACTTTGCATCATTTGCCAAACCAATCTTTCATAAATTTATTGAAGTGAGGGGGACACAATAAAGTAAAGGCAGTAATTTGGCATAAAATTGCATCAGTATAATCTGGTGATTGTTTCATCTTGTTCATTCTTATGAAGTGTGTTGCATGGTGAAAAAATATGAAACCTTTTCTCAAAGATGGAATAAGAAGAAAAAGTAAGCCTATTTTTGATTAGGCGAAATTGAAAACTGATGTAGATTTCATTGTCTAGTTGTTTTTGTACAATGAAAGACATGTCAAGAAACTAGAATCGAATTTGAAAATCATAAAATATCCTAAATAAAACAAAACTTACATGGTGTGAGTAACATATAATGATCACTAAGCATTTGAACACATTTATTTATACTTTTTTATGACTTGGCTGGTCTTAAACAGAAATAATGCTGTGGAAATGGCAGCACTTAAACACTTCATTCTGGACTACTTGACATTTGTGGCTCTTCAAAATATTCTATACATGAACATAATTGAAAGAATCTAATTCTTTTGAAGTTCTTTTTATTTACGTTCTTATGATTGTTGAGCCTTGACAATGGATTAAACGTCAAATTACTTTTTCATAAATATCATTTTCCAGTGATTGGAGATAAGCTTAGAAAACAATAATTTATTCACTACATCTTATGACTTCCATTTTATCTTCTTTTTCTTTGTGTCAGTTCAGTTTTATTTCATTAACAAATATCTTTAGCTACTGTTTGAGACATATCGTTTGCACTATCTATAGTTCAGACAAGGCACACAACTCCAAAAATTAGTTTATTTCTTATTGTATAACAAATACTTTACCTTGAGGACATTTTTCTTATTTCAAAGTATATTTTTGATATTTTTCTAATTTCAGGGTTATGCTTGCTGGTTTATTTCTAAGTTTCTATTAGTCTCTTGTGAGTTGCTGTTTCAGAGTTAGTACTCTCTGCCTAAGTCATTATTAAGAAGTTGAGTCTTTTATTTAAAACTTAGAAAATTTAATATACAAGATGAAAGCAAGCAATCTTGGTATCAGTCTCTCTCAATTTTGGTTTGTCTAGAAACTCAACTTTTCAGAGGTCTTTTGGAATTTAGGCTTCCTGTATTAAATCTGAGACATTGCTTTGGTTTGCTCAACCCTCTTGTTATAAGTACATTTCTTTGTATGTGTAATATATATACTTGTACTTATATATTCTTACATGCAGTTATCTTCCTTATCTTGAGGGTATATGTTTCAATATTCCCAGTAAGTGCTTGAAATTGAGGATAGTACTAAATACTATCCATACAATGTTTTTATCTATATATTCATACCTATGATAAAGTTTAAATAGGCACAATAAGAGATTAACAAAAATAATAAAAAATAGAATGATTACAACAATATACTGGAATAAATGTTATTCATAAATTCATTTTTATTGTAGAACTTAGCAATCTCAGCATATCATTTTTTCATTCCTTATTAATTCAAGAACTCTTATCATTTTACTTAAAAGAGACAATTTACACTTTCTGCTTGGCATATCCAAATTTCCAGCATCTTTACCTTTGCATTTTGGAGTCATTATTAAATAAAATTTCTAAATTGTTTATGCACCTGAAACTTGAAAGCAAAACTTTAGAGAAGAGGAGACCACTAAACATGTGAATATCAACATAGTTATATTTAGATAATGTGTTCTACTGTATTCTATAAGTTGAGGCTTAGTTGCACACAGTAATGCAGGTCTTACTCTCCACTCATGGAAACATGTGGTAATTAATGCTCAACCACCTGTTCCATCTGTCTAACAGTTTGCAAAACACCTGCAGGCATTGTGTGTCTATAGATATTGAGCACCTCTTTATTTTACTGAGCCCTCATTTGTTGTCTATGACATATATATAGGGTGTATCAAAAATACTTTTAAAACATTTGGGGCAGGTTCCTGACACCAAAACAAGGTAAAATGTTCATATAAACATATGTCCAAAAGGACATCATTGTACCTCAATACCTCAGATCATAACAAATGTTCATAATATCCTCTGCTTGCTTCTACACACACATGCACCCCCCCCAGATCATTGAGTGGTGGACCCTTTCAAACACTCCCACACAGTGTTGAATGGTTTTGCAGGCCCCCATGATACATTGATGAAGTATGTCTGCATTATTAATGCCTGCTGCATAAACTAATTGTTTTAGATAGCCCCATAGATAAAAATTCAAAGGATTGAAGTCAGGAGAATGTGCAGGCCATTGAGCCAGTACTTACCTACCTATCCATCTTTAATGGTAGATTTCAGCCACTGCACCATGAACAATGGGACTAAAATTTGCTGGAGCTCCATCATGCATGAGCCACATGCATCTTCGTATTAGCAGGGGTACATATTCTAACAGGTCTGGAAGTATGCTCAAAATAAAGTCTCTGTAGACAGATACTGTAAGATGTGCTGGGAGAACATATGGACCCACCAGACAGTCACTTTCAATTCCAGCCCATACATTAATTGTAAACTGATGTTGTTGTCTAATGTATTGTACTATGGAGATTCCAGTCTGCCCACAAATGTTAGTTGTGTAAAGTTGTTATTCCAACTCTTTCAAATGTTGCCTCATCTGTAAACAAAATTGAAGAGACAAACAAAGGATCAACAGTTTCTGCAATAAACCATCAGCAAAAATTCTCCCATGGTGAGTGATTAGAGGGTAAAAAGACCCTGCAAACATTGTGAATGATACGAATACAGTAGCTGCTCTTGATTTACCCTCCATGAGGTACTATGAGATATACAACAAGCTCAGGCCACTTGATGTGTGCTGATATGTGGATCATCTCCAGCAGCCTGTAGAATGTGTTCTTCATGGTCAGGCATATGAGCAGAACTCGGTCTTCCTCAATCCATAGTTTGTGGTACCATGGATCTTGTCTCATTAACATGACGATAAACAGCAGCAAAGATTGCATAACTTGGCTGCCTTCAGTCTGTAAATGAAATCTGATTCAGCCATGCAGTCTCATGACCATTACCATTTGTGTGGCTGTATGTAAAAAAAATCATATCTGCCTGTTCACAATATGAATATCCTGTCATTGTTAAATGGAACACTTCTCAGTTAATTCACTACTACATGAATGACAAATGTAACCTAGTCTACACAGCAACACAGCATGATCTACCATAAATTTTCTTTAAATTTAACAATTCAAAAAAGAAGGATTTGTGGATATATGCTTATATGGAATTTTGTCCTTGTTTTGGTGTGAGGAATCTGTCGCCAAAGTTTCAAAGTATTTTGATATAGATAGTATATTGAAAACCTGTTGTTATTTATTTGGTATTAATATATGTGGGTATTTATCAGACAATTATCATTTTTTGGTACCTTGACATCATTTTTGTTTTAATAATAGCAGTTGATATGAGACTTTGATTGTGTAATTGAGACTGGACATCTATGGCCAACATATTTGTTGCTAATGGATCTGGGGAAAATGATATCTATGAAATTTAATGAAATCTCTCTGCTATATTGGCAACCAAGTTTTAAATACTGCAGTTGTCAATGATTTTCACAACAAGTTGGAAGAACAGGGAATACTTGGGAAAAATTCTTTTTGCACTTGTCTTTCAATTTTGTTCTTATTTGTTATTCACAGTAAATATTTTTGTTTCATTTTGCTTGATAACTTATCGGATTTGTATTATGCTGAAATTATATGGACTGATGAGAAGCTTAGGATATTGTAGATTTTAAAAGCATGCAAATTGACCACATTTGTTGAGATGATTTATACAAGGCATGTACCTTTTCATCAGTTTAAACATTATGAAAACATACTAGCACACTTGTTTGTGATAACCACATTTGATCTTGTGTATATTTATAATATGTTTTGCTTTCTTCTATTTTCAGGCAAGGATCATGTATGTCGCTTCATAGGTTGTGGCCGAACTGAGCGCTACAATTATGTAGTGATGTCATTACAAGGCAAGAACTTAGCAGAACTGCGACGAAGTCAGCCGCGTGGCTGCTTTTCCCTGAGTACAACACTTCGACTTGGCTCTCAGATCCTATGGGCCATTGAATATATTCATGAAGTGGGCTTCCTTCATCGTGACATAAAACCTGTAAGTTTTATTCAATCTTTTTTTTTTTTTTACCTGACTTAATTGTACCTCTTTGGTTTTCAACTTTATATGCCATTTGTTTACATGTACAAAGTCAATATCTTAAACAATACTGTTTAAAATATTTAACAGAATTCATTTTTCTTAGCATTGATTCCTGACACAAGCAACTTTGTTCCTTCAATCTATTTTTTACTTATAATTTGACTCTAATTCAATAATGATTTTTTTCATCTTTCTACCATTTTCTAACTCCAAGGACAATTTGAGTTGTGGTTACTAAATTTCATTTTTTGTTTTGTGTTTAATTATTTCATGTCCCAATTATAATTTCTGTATTTAATTTATCTTTCAAAGGCAATATGATAGAACAAATACAGAATCTAGCGAGAATAAAAAAACAAACAAAAGCAATTATCATTTTCTAAAAGAAAACAAGCATACACACACAGTATGAGATGTAAGCAAGTTGATCATATATCGCTTTTCAAATGTTTATTATATATAATAATTACAGTGTGTGATAGAAATAACTCCCACATTTTAAAGATTGACAAAAAGATCAAGAAATTGCTATTAAAAAATTTATATCACTGTTGTTTAAACAAAGGGCTAGTTTTTATTCATTTAGTTTTAAAAATGACATCCTCCAAATGGTGGCTCCTATTTGCCATACACCGTGGTAGATGATTTCTAAAGTTTTCCATCACCTGGAAGTTCAAATGTTTCAAGGTCATTCCAACCCATAGCAGTATCTATTTTCTATTCGGAACAGCATGATTTCAGTGTAACATGAAAAGCACAAAAAGGTCTCTGTGTTGCAATTACAGATTCACCAGTTTTACAAAATGTTTCATTAGCAAATGTACAGTATGGACCCTTAATGATCATGACCAGAGGTATCCTGGGAGAATTGTCTGTGGTAACACACAAATAATATTGTTTCAATTTAATGCAGGCAGTACCAGATGTATAACCAGCAATGTGTTCTTATCTTCTATGGGGTATTAGAGTACCAGACTATCCCTATTAACACCACAGCATCAGACACCATACTGCACTGGACTTCTGACCACTAATTGGATCATGTAGGATTGACAACATGTGGCATGGTCAGATTCCAGTTATTTTGGGCTGGTACTAGGATTTCGGTATGCCATGAATCCCATTTATCTAGGAGGTACCATACAAGCTGGTGGTGATTCTATAATGAAGTTGAATGTGTTCACATGGCACAAATTAGGTCTACTGTTTTTCATAAACATACCATTGACCACTTTGTTTTACTGCTTTATGAGTATTTGTTCCCATTCATAGATTCCATGTACTCCAAAAGTGATGGGTTATTTCAACAGGATAATAACACCAAGTCATTGTACCTAAGTTGCTTATATTTTGTTTGAGAAACATTCTGGAGATTTTTAGAAAAATGGTGTGACCACCATGTTTATCTGATATGAGGCCAATTGTGCATTTATGAGATGTGGTAGAATGGTTTGTTTGCATGCAAGTTCCTGCACCCTATGAATATCAGGGAGCTGTGGAGACCTATTGAGACAGTATGACTCTCTATTTCTTTAGATGTCATCTGGCCACTTGTGGAATCAATGCCACAAATTGTTGCCCTTTGTTGAGATAGAAGTGGTTGTAGATGATACTAAGCACCTCTTCCATGACTTTTGGCATTTCGATGTTTGGATATATCTAATTACAACAGTAGTGAATATTACTTTGTTTTGTAATTAAAAAAAAAATTCTACAAAGGATCACAAATTGTATGGCTTGAACTTGTTTAATGCAAAATTGATGTATTCAAAGAAAAATTAATTGAAAATAAATCATAGAAAACCATATACATTTAATCAAAATATTTACCTTTGTCCTTTATTCATTTTTTTCACTTTTGCAGCAAGGCATCGCTTGTTTTCCTAAATAATTCTTCATTTAAAAAAAAAGTGATAAATTCATTGAAGCCTTTATCAATTTGATCCTAACTGGGAAGCTTATATTTGTAAAGTAAGGGTCTGAAAAATAGTAACTTGTCAGCTCAGTTGAAAATAGAAGTCTCTATTTTTTAACAGATTCAACTTCAGTATTATCAGTCTTGCAGTATAAAAGTGGATCAGCAAAATGATATCCTTTTTCTTATAACCAGAAGCATTGGTCATTTGAGTTTTCAATTTAAACTACATATTCATCTTCATCGTTTGGACACTTTGTTCAGAATCACTGATATATAAAGCTACCCTTGTGTCATCAACTGCTCATCCATAACCTTTCAGAAATTATAGCATAAGAAAAGATGCTTAAAAGTCCTTTATTCAACCAAGAAGCCCTTCACTTCTAAATTTTAATGTTTGGTCATTTGATTAGATTTGGTGAACTGAGTTGGACTGAGAACTTTTCCCCATCTCCTTAAAGTTTAAGTTTGTGTTTTTCATCAATAACTGCCACTTGTGCACATCTTTGTGGTTATTAAATATTACACAAAATTATTATACAAAATCCATTTTTCTATCACTAGACATTTTTGTTTAAGCTGAATCTATTTATTGAGCCTTTCTCTTATTCTTGCCAATCACTCTGACATGATTTGAAATGGTTCCAGTCAATAAATACATTGAAGGTTGCTGTAAGATTTCTCATCAATTTTTAGATCATTTCCGTCACATCTGTCAAATCTTATTGATGGATTTCATCAACATCTCTCCTGTTTTTTAAACTGATATTGCCACTCAACAACCTTTTGAAACTCAAATCTTACTGTTGGTTCACTAAAAGGATTGTTCTTAAAGGTGAAATTTATTTATATTTGTTTGATTTCATTATTGTTCAGCTTGAAATCACACAAGTATAGCATATGAATATTACAAGTTGAAATGTTTTCCATATATAACATATATTGGCAGAAAAAGGAATGAAATTGACTCAAGTAATCAAATATCAAAACAATATATTTACCCTCTATTTATGTACTATGTATATACAGAGAAAATACAAATATGATGATAATAGGTAGCAGTAAGACTTAAACCTTTAACTTGTCCAACCCAGTTAATCTTATATATAGAGAAGGATTCATGAACATAATCACATTGTATCTGCAAATAAACATTTTTTCCTGCTGAATTTTTATGTATCAAACTCATTTTGTAGGCTTAATAATTAATCTTTGACCCCTAACAATAAACACATTGAGATCAATTTTACCTCATATATAGCCATACATTATTTATTGTTCGTGCTAAAAGATTAATGATCTGAAAATTTATCTTTAAATTCATTAGTTCTTTTTTAATTGGAAATTATTTTTAGCCTAAATGTCATTTCAAAACTTGGTTTCTTATTCCACAAAGAAGTGGAATAGACAGGCTGGAAATGATTTCTGAGTGATTATTAAGCAAAAAGAATTGTTCTATTAAAAAAAAAAAAAAAAACAGATTTTAATCTTTGGGATGCAATTCTTGAAATGTTCAACATTTATTAACCTATAAATGGGGTTTTGGTTGATTATACTTGTGTCTAGACATTGTCAGATTCTATTATGCAACTCAATGATAAGGGCAATATTAAACCATTTCCTTCTAAGGAAACATTTAGCATTCATTGACTGATCAGTCAGTGTTGCTTTCAGTTAAAATTTATAAAATCTTTCTCTTAAAATAATTATTCAGGAAAATAGTTTTCACAAGTCCACTACCAGTTAGTGCTCTTTCCAATATTGATTGGGGCTTACCGTCCTTACTTTTTTTTTTTTTGGCGGGGTGGGGATCTTGATTATGTCATTATTTTCTATTCAAGTTACATGTGCTATTCATTTTAGTTGTTGCTGCACTTGAAAGTCCTCTGGTGATGTTGCTTCTGTTATTTTCTACAGTTCTTTCTTTGTGATTCTGTAATGCTAGTCCTTGAGGTTTGAGGAAGGATGTTCTTCACTGAGGCCTACATGCTTCAATCACTTAAAGCCACTTTTGACCATCAATCTGAGACAGCAGTTTTATACAGCTGACAGTTTAGATATTTCTAAATGAGTTTGGTGTCATGTGTAGCATCTATATGAAAGTTTCAATCTGATGAGACTAAGAACATTTTTACAATAAAATAGTTATTAACTGACTGATTAAAAATTTCAGGATTCACTTATATTTATATGAACAATATATCGAATATAATTTAACTTAAAACATTGTTAAAAATTTTGATAATTACCTGTTTTGAGAATATCAGTTTTTTTTATGCAAAGGGCAAAATAAATTTGTATTTACAAATAAAATAAAGAGATATAAACCATAAAAACATATGTGATTAACACACCATCCATAAATCTGAATAAATCATTACTTTATTTCTCTGAAGGATTCACCTTCTAGTATAACCATCAGGTCTATCCAATGTAACTCCATATTCATCACTAAAAATCACTGCTAAAAATCATTTTTCATGTAATTGCACATCACCAAATAAATTATTGCAAATATGTCCAATAAAAAATGATAATATAAGCTTAAATTCAGTTGCTATATTTATCATATAAATATATTCAGAAATTTTTTTCCAATATGACATTTTTAAAAAAAGTATCTCTTTCATCATGTTAAAATGTAATGAAGTAAATAATTTTGTCAACCTAAAATTTGTAATCATAAGTAAAATCTCCTGATTAAATAATAAAATAACAGAAATATTTTGAATGAATTTTAGCAGGAAATATTGAGCATTAGATGACAAATCTTGAAAGGGTTATGGGGGTGAGTTATCAAAAACTAGTTTAAGCTAATCTATAAATTTTGAATCTCAGAACTCCTTTCAAGAACATTCACAGATAAGGAGATTTTATGAATTGCTTAGATTATCAACTTATTATTCTAGTGATTACAATCTTTTTGACATAATTCTATGTTTATGCTGCTTATATTTAAACCTGAGATCATGCCAAATCTTTTGACAATTTTGAGGGTTTGTGATTGAACTGTTTATGATTTTGTAAATATCCATTTTGA